ACGGTGTATGGATTCTGGACATGATGGACATGAATTGGAGTGTCTGGAACTACGCCAATGCGGCCCTCGACTGGGGCGATTTATCCATCCACGACCTCTGTATGGCTGAAAGGGAGAGAAGAGACCCTCAGCATTTGCTAAACATCCGAGCCTTACAATGATTCGAAAAAAATAATAAATAAATAAATAGAAAAACATGACTATTCTGGTTCGATGGATCATTTCCCTACCCGCGGCCTGCCTCATCTCATGCTTTCCTCATATTCATCCCCCCCGTCCCTGACAGCAATGAGCAACCTGTCAGTTACGTATTCCTGATTTTTCTCTGGTACAGGGAGTCTAGATTTTCTTTTCTCCTCCACTCTACACTACGTATTCAGTCCAGCACTCTAAACTCTACTATCTTTCAAACGTCACTCCCATACATCAGTCAAGATCAACATTCCACAATTGACTGAAAGTACTCCTCCGTACATACTCAGTAATCATAGCCACCTCGCGCGCCACACCGAGCAAGAAATGGCTGCCTGCGACCAAAGCTGGTCCCCACCACACCTCCGGAGCATCCAAAAATAGAGTCCACTCTCCGTCCATGGAGTCCATGGAGTCCATGGAGTTTCATCCATGCAGAACCCGCTAATTTGCGTGTCTCAAGGCGTCACAACGCAAATTAAGTTAACTCCCTTCCATAACTCACTCCATATTTAATATACACTAATCCTACCTTATATGAACACGGTAGGGCTGGCAAATGACTGGGAAATTTAGGCATCATCGAATAAAAAACATTTACTGTAACTCTTGACAGGATAAAACTAGAAGAATCTAATCAGTCTCCATCCGGTTGTTTCCTTCAGCTGTCGTATCTTTCACGTGGTTCCGAACGCCCTGGAGGAACGCTTCGACAGCATCACCACCCCCTAGGGGAACTCCTCCTCTACGCATAAACCCGCCATTCTCCACGGGGATCTTGAGGGCTTCGCTGATGCTCGGTAATCCACCATCTCGGATAGCCACGGTCAGACTGGCGAGGCTCTGTGCGAACTGGGGCGAGTGCAGAACTTTCCGCAGGATGTCTTTCTTCTGGTCCTCGTCGAGGGACCCCATGGCGGCTTCCGCGATCTCGGGGTCCTGATCAGCCACCGCCGCGTCGTCGATGTCTTGTGCCAGGAGGAGAAGCGACGGGGGCAAGAAGCTCAGCAGGTGATCGACGGTCTTGGCGTCGGCGCCCGCCAAGAAGGGAAGCGTAGTTGACGGAGGAAGGAGATCTTGCAGAGTAGTGAAAGGCCGCTCGGGATCTTGGGATTGGCGCGCACCCCCGCCCAGAGACTGCAGAAAGCTCTGCACGACAGATGAAGGATCCGAGTCGGCAGCGGCCCTACATTGCGGAAAACTCCCAGTCAGCACTCGTACAGTAGCATATCTTTGAAAAAAAAACTATAAAAAAAGCTCGAAGGGTACAGCCAGTCCGCCCAGTGTAAGAAGCCTAGGGTGAACATGAGGAACTGTCGAGATATGTACCTACGCTCTTCCACCATCGGCACCGCCCTCCCTCGATCCTTGGCCCTCTTCCCGGACATCGCCCCCGGTAGCATCGGGGCCAGCGCCTCCGCTGTTACCTCCGCGGTTGTGGCTGGGGTCGTGGTCCACACCCTCTACATCCTCCATGGTCTCGTCGTCGTCGCCACCGCTCGAGGGACCCCGAGGCAAGTTGGCAATCTCTTCTTCGACGTCCACCTCCTCACCCTGCAGCAACGTGTTGACGATCTCACCCAGTCGGATATCCCTGGGGCTGAACCAGCTGGGATTGCCACCCTCGTGCTGCGACTTAGATTGCAGCCAAAACAGGTACCGTTGCGAGCTCGACGAGAACTTCAGGACGTAGATGCGACCATTGGTGGGGGCAGCGTTGCCAGTCGGCTTGTAGGGAGTGAAGGTTCCGTCGGAAGGGACCATCACCAGATCCAAGTCAGGTTCGGTGTGAGGGGCAGTTCTCGGGCGCCAGCAGAAGTGTACCAGCTCATCTTCGATGTAGAGGTAGATGTATCCGGGGGTGGGCTTGGGCTTGACAACGTTGCCGGACTGATCCACCAAGAGAGAAAGTCAGTTAGCATCAGCATCGAAAGAGGGGACGGCATGTTTCCAGTGTGTAGACGGGAGGTCGGAGCTCTGGGAGACAACTCACCTCGAGATCACAGATACCCGCTTTGAAGGTGATGATTGGGGTTAAAGACATGGTGGGCGAGGTGTGATTGAACAGGAGAATATAATTTGTGAAAGACCTTTAAAGCTGAAGGTATTCCAGTTGAGCAAGATAACAAGACAGCAACCTCGGTTGCTCTGAGAGGTGGGAGTGAAAAGAGTAGTAGGTTAGGATAATGGACAAAAGCTGAGCAAAGCAAGGTACGTCAGTTGGAGGTTACCCGCAGTAATGTTTAGGTTGATGGACGACCAGCTCTCTCTCGCTCTGTCTGTCTCTCTCCTACTGAGTAAGACAAGAGCCAAGCGAAATGCATAGTTGGGGCCTCCCGAGAACCCGAGCCCGTCGGACTTGTCGCCTCAGGCATCCAGCGGCGCTATCGGCTCTATCGCTATCAGGACCTATCAGGACCCCTCCGAATCGGCACTAGCGCCTTTCGGCTAGGGCTCGCGTTCACACAAACTCACACTTTCCCGACCTGGGGCGCAAAGCAGCAAGTCACACATCAACTCCAGCAACCACCCGCCGTCGACAACCACCACCTCCCCCCTACATTCTTTTCAGACCATCTTCGTCCCGGTAGCCAAAATGTCGGACCTGACGAAGCAGTTTGGAAAGGGCCAGAGGACTGTGCCGGCCCAGAAGGCCCAGAAATGGTACCCCGTTGATGACGAGTCGCAGGTCAAGAAAGTCAGTACACCGACCATCACCCTGAGGCAAAAGAGCCAGAATCATTCCGAACCACCGACCAGGGAGGCTACGAAGATGCGATTTGGGAACTATGGACGAATGCGACATTTGCGCTGGTGATAAAGAGGAAGACCCTCTCCGGGTTCGGAGATCCGGGGAAGATTGGAAGGCCAGGAATTAGGGCCAATTGTGTCAATCGGACCATGAGCTTTCGATCATATGGGACAAATCGCATCTTCCGGCCCTTCTGGATCGGCAATGGTTGTTCTGGATACTGTGGTGGAATCGCAAATGGGGATATAGGTCGTTTCTCTAACATGACCTCTTTTTCACGATTATAGGTCCGCAAGGCTATCCGTCCCGCCAAGGTCCGCGAGAGCCTCCAGCCCGGTACCGTCTTGATCCTCCTCGCCGGTCGCTTCCGTGGAAAGCGTGTCGTTCTCCTCAAGCACCTCGAGCAGGGTGTCTTGCTCGTCACCGGTCCCTTCAAGATCAACGGTGTTCCCCTCCGCCGTGTCAACGCCCGCTATGTGATCGCCACCAGCACCCGCATCGACATCAGCGGTGTTGACGCCCAGACCGTTGAGAAGGTCTCCGCTGCCGACTACTTCACCAAGGAGAAGAAGGCTGAGAAGAAGACCGAGGAGGCTTTCTTCAAGCAGGGAGAGAAGCCCCAGGTACGTTTTGCGTCCCGTCGGTCCTCTACTCCGGCAGGGAGTCGACAACACCTCTCAAGAATATGAATACTGATTCGATATGCTTTTACCTCGGTACAGAAGAAGCAGGTTGCCAGCGCCCGTGCCAGCGACCAGAAGGCCATCGACCAGTCCATCCTGGCCGCCGTCAAGAAGGAGAACTTCCTTGGCAGCTACCTCGCCTCCAGCTTCAGCCTCCGCAACGGTGACAAGCCCCACGAGATGAAGTGGTAGATGTGTGACGCGGCGGCCGCGGGTTCGGTAGTTTTTGTGTGGAGGAATCCTGTCAAAAGGCGGCTAACCATGCAAAGTCGGCGTTTCTCTCGGTCAAAAGTGTGGGGAAAAGCGAACTTGCAGCGCCGGGAAAGGGCAAAAGACCAAAACAAAAGAAATCAAAAAACAAAACCTTTTCATGAAATATATGTAACTCGATTCAGGCCTCATGTTTGCTTAGGATTGCGGTTTTTTTTTTTCTAAACTTTTTTAATGCGGACAAAAAGGGGAAAAAAAAAGAAACCGGTTCGTTATCTCTTTATTTCACGAGAAGCCCCCCCCGTTTTGTTTCTTTGGTCTGCTCTATTTCTTTTGCTTTTGCCCATACCCCCTTTCCCAGCGTGGCCGATCTTTGCGGTATTGATATCACCAGCCGAAATGAAATGAAACCAAACAAAAAAAAGCAGAATACCTCTCTTCCAGCTCATCTACCTAATTTCTTATCTCTATGAGCTCTGGACCAATACCAGGTTCTGGCGGTACAGTTACATTCTCATAGAAGCTTATGTTTATGATCGATTACTATTACCATCTCAGGAGTGTCCGGTGTCTTCAACCTCACTTCATTGTGACGAACCTCTTGTTTCGGATTTCTGGGCCGATGATGTAATATCATAGATAGACCATGCCAGTATGACTTCTGACTGAAATCACAGCACGTATATACTATACTATGTATATCTACTCATGCATCATAAGAACCTCTTGTGACGACCTCGCTAAGCCTAACCCAAGCTCCCAATAAAGCCAATTGCTCTCTGACCAGCAAAGTTGGTGGTTTATCAATTACTCCTGGCAAGGAACTCCCTATCCATTATGTACAGCACTGTAAGTACTCTGGATCCTTGACATGACGAGCCTCGTTACAACAAATACCTCCATTTACTCAAACAAACTTGTTGTTCCACCATCTTTTACAGATCTAGACACAAAGTGACATCGACATAACATGTTAGGTAACAGATTTCCTGGTATAGACAGATGCCATTCTGGTTCGTTGTAGCGAGGTCTGATAAATTCCAAATCGGCTAGAACCCGAAGTTGTGCGTTTCCTCTCAATCCCCGTCTCCCACTCAGGCGATGTAGATAAGCGGGCCTACTTAAGTAAGTACGGAGTTGACAACCCCAACTCCGATAAGAAGATCGCTCCAACTCTCAACTGTCTCTTCCCCACACAGCCCGAAAATCGCACAAATAGACAGAAAACCAAAACCTCCCAATTCAATCACAATGAACAGTTCATCTACAAACTGAAGAAGACAGTCTATTCAAAATCTAACAACCCATTCATAAAAACCAAGGCCTCACTCCCTTTTTGTATCCCCAAAGCCGTACAGTACAGTACAGTACAGTACATATACTCGAGTGTTCATACCCTCAAGGCATGACATGACGTAACAACCCAAAACAATGAACCATCAAACACACCTACACAAAAAACACCACCAACACCACCAACACCACGACAAGACCCACCCCTCAATCAATCAAGTCTCACCCTCCTCCCTCCCTCCGCCTCGCCCCCCTCGTAGTCCGCCGAGCCTTCGGCTCGCCAGCCCAATAATTCTTCACCCGCCGCAACTGCGGCGCGCGGGGCTGCATCCCCACCCCCAAAACATCATCATCATCGTCATCCCCATCTTCACCCACAGGAAGAACATTCTCACCACTGTCAACAACAACATCATTATCAGCGTAATCCTTGAGATCCTGTGCCAGCACAATCCCCTGGCGTTGGAGGTGATGGCGACGACGATGGGAATGAGGAGGAGCTCGTTCCTCCTTCGCCTCCTTCTCTTCCTCCTCTCGCCCGCTATTCGGCCGCCGACGCAGGCGCAGTCGCGGCGGCGTGGGGGGGTCGGCGTCGTACTCCTCGTCGACGGTCGTGCCCAGCACGCGGTCCACCACCCCCCAGGGCCCGAAGTTGCCCGTGCCCAGGCTGTGGAGGTGCGCTTCCATGTTGCGCGCCATGCCGCCGATAAAGAACCCCGTCGGCATCGCGGAGTATCCGCTGTAGGCGAAAGTCTCCTCCAGGGAGACGATGGCCAGGTAGACCAGGTAGGTGACCAGGTGCAGGCGGCCCAGGGCGACGGGGAGGATGGTGGGGAGCCAGCGGCCGACCAGGTAGGCGAGTGGGTGGTCGTAGTGTGCGGTGAGCGGGTAGGGGGCGCGCAGGGCGTGGTACCAGGCGGCGTGGAGGCGGGCGAGGGGGTTCTTGGTGTGCAGGATCCAGCGGTGGATGATGTAGCTGAGCATCTAATGTCGCGGCGTTTGCGAGTTAGTAAACGGGTAAACAAAGAAGAAACAGAAGAGAAAAAAAAAAAAAAAGAGACAGAGGGATGAGATGGAACAACTCCGACTCACCTCTCGTAGGATCAATCCCCAAAAGATCTCCCAGGCCAGAGACCACGGGAGCGGAAGCTTCAGCGTCACTCGCACAAGGCTCACCTTGCGAAAGCGGCTGGCAAGGGTATGTTCAATGGCACCTTGGACGGCGACACCCAGGGCCAAATTGAAGAGCGCCCACACGGCGACTTTGAGGTCCTTGCGCCGGATCCTGCCCCGTTTGTTGCCGTTGGGCAGTCCGTATTCGCCCTGGGCCTTGAGGAGCACGGCGGCCGAGGGCGTCAGGATGTCGAACAGGAAGAACAGGAGCGAGGGAAGAGCATAGCACAGCACCCGCACGGTGGCAGTGCCCACCAGCTCAACGCGGAGAGCCGTATGCGACAGCACCAGGGTCGCCCATGTCATGTAAAAGAAAATAAAATTGACGCTGGTGCCGCAGAAAGCCCACACAGGGGCGATGAGGAGAGAGAAAATCGGAAGCGCCAACAATGGGTTCATTGTTGTAACCGGTCAAGTTGACCGACGTATCAGTAGCAGCGATAAATCGGGTAAATGGGCAATGTTTATTTATACCAATAAATATTTATTTCTGTATAGCAACGGCGATGCGAACCTTTTTCGTCACGCGCGATGTTGCAGCTATAGCCTGAACCAACAACACCCACAGAGACGGCGATACTCGAGCGAAGACTATATAGTCATCCCGATTTTGCGACTTGAAAGAAGCTGGTTGTGACTGGGATGGTTGGATGTTGGATAACGCGACTCGACCAAAAATCCCCCCCCACCGTGGATAAGCCGCGGGTGCTTGGCTCCGACTGATTCGGTGCAGCCCGCCTTCGCTTTGTCCGCTCACCCCAAGCCACCAATTCTATCTTCCTTGTCTTCAACCTCATCAAAGCAACGAAACAAGCGCACCAAAGAATCTCGAACTATCATTCTTAGTTTCAATGAAGGCTGCGCGCTCAACTCCGACTCTCTGTAGCTATTTATGTGAAGACACAAGCAAGGAATGGGTCGGATAATGAAGCATGGATTAAGACTACGGCTATATGTACATGTTCTTTAGGAATGAAGATAATAATGGCTGCAAGAATGGGGAACGCAGCTCCGGGTATCTAGGACATAGAC